ACAGCAGAGAGAACAACCATAAACCGAACAGCCGAAGCGGCAAAGACAAACATCGACACCACACTCCCCCAAAAAATCGGAACCCCAAAACCCGAAAACTCTCAAACCCCATAACACTTCTAACCCTAAACTTTCCCCTGTAAACCCTGAACTCCTGAACCTCCCCTCGTGAACAACGATCAGCCCAGGTCCAGCCTTAGGCTTGGGCGACCAAGCTCGGCAACTTTCAAGCTGCTCGAGCCGAAAGGAGTTTAGGGTTTAGGGTTTAGGGTTTAGGGTTTAGGGTCAGAAGAGCAGATGAGGGCCTTTGGGGCTGCTAGGTCTTAGGGCCTTAGGGGGTTTAGAGCTTCTAGGTCTTAGGGTCTTAGGGGCTGTAGGGCTCCAGGTCTTAGGGTCTTCTCAGAGTCTTAGAGTCTTAGGGTTCTAGGGCTCTTGGTTGTTTGTTGATAGGTCTTGGAGTTGTAGTGTAGGGTTTAGGGCTGCAGTTCCCGCTTTGGGGATTTATAGGGTGTGCGCGCAGAAGGGCCTGCGGCATAGGGCTTAGGGTTTAGGGTTTAGGGTTAGGGGGTTTCAAAACTCAGGCTGCGGTGCTTCATCACTCGGGATTACTTAGGCAACCTTGCTTGACCCAAGCGTAACCTAGGAATACACCCTAAACCTTAAACCCTAAACCCTATAAACCCTAGGAATAAAAAACAGTGCCCCTTGTTGGCTTAAAGGGGCTTAACCGAAACCCTTGAAAAAGAGGGGAATGAGGGCCAACTCTGGGTCCGAGCCACCCTGCTGGTTCTTAAGTAGGGAATGAGGGAGTTAGGGTTTAGGGTTTAAGGTTTAAGGTTTAGGGTTTAGGGTTTAGGTGCCTTATAATATCCCCCGAATTCTACCCTTTAAGGGACTACACGCTACCCCCTCCAAGAATCAACTAGCCACATACCACCCCTTTAAGGGACCACTTAGGGTTCCAAACTCACTAAGTAATTCTGAACCCTAAACGCCAAACCCTGAAGCCTCTACCCCAACCCTGAAACCTCAAACCCTAAACTACCGCACAAAAAATGGTGCCCCCTTCTATACCCTACACAAATTAAGGGCCCATACTTCAGAACCCTTTAACGGAGGTTACAGTAGGGACCATGTTAAGGGCGCATGAACGACTCTAGGAACCTGGCAGCCCAAGTTGCCGCAAGAACCTTTAGGGGGTTTAGGGTTTAGGTTTCAGGGTTTAGGGGTTAAGGGGCTTAGGGGTTTAGGGGTTTAGGTTTCAGGGTTTAGGGTTTAGGGTTTAGAGTTTAGGGAGTTAGGGAGCTAGGGGGTTGGGGTTTAGGTAACCTTTTCGTCCATCACCGCTGATACGTCTTCGCGACGAAGCCGTCTGAGCCTACTAAGCGATCGACGAGTGGCTGCAGGTTTCGGACCAGGCCCGCCTCGGACGTTCCCAAGTCTAGAAAGGGGGGGACCCTTATAAGGGGCCTTAGGGTTATTTAGGGGCTATCTGGGGGCTACTTAAGTATATTGGGGCTTTCTAAGGAATATATATATATATATATATATATGTCCTTTTGACCCCTTAGACCAACTAGTCGGCCGCGACTCCTCCCAAACAAACGTTTCGTATTGGGAGAAGGTACTTGCTCTGCGTACCCCCAAAGAAGAAAGACGCAGACATCCCCGACACCCTTTTTCCAGGCCAATGAGACTGCCAGATACTAAACCCGAAGCACTACTTCAAGGATCAGGGGACTTAGCAAGTTGGATTAGTAGCAAGGTAACTACACTTATTCTAATAGTTACTGGCAACCCCAAGTAAGGTACTAATATCCCTACTTACTCAGTGCCCCGAACCTCCCAGCACAAGGGTATTCCACCAAGGGGCCGGGGAGCGGCTCAGTAGCTCGCCGCGCGAGCGCGGGAGCTCCTGAGGAATGCTCGCAGGGGCTTTTGGGCTGGGGTTTAGGGTTCAGGTGTAGGGTTGATAGGGCTATAAAAGGGTTTAGAGTTTATCCTGGAATACAAACAACCCAACTGGGGCTTAGAGCTTAGGTTGGGGTGATCTACTTGTTGGGCTTTGGGTGGGAGTTCCTCATGCGATGGGCTTCTTTCTTTTTAGCACCAAATCTGGGAAACATCGTTGTTAGAAAGCTACTCTATGCCCTGACCCTACGTACACTGTTGAGAAAAACACACACACACACACACACACACACACACACACACACACCCACACACACACACACACACACACACACACCCACACACCCACACACCCACACCCGCGCGCGCGCGCGTGCGCGCGCGGCATCTCCAGTTGTCCCACAGTCCCAAATTGCTTCGAAGGTCCCCTAAACCCTAAACCCTACACCCTGAACCCTAAACCCTACATTTCCATGGCAACCAGCTCTAGCCCAGAGGCCCTCCACACGCAGCATGACGTGGCTGTGGAGGGAGCTTCAGGTAAGCAACCAAAACATCGCTTTAAGGGCCTCCTGAGTCCTGATGCAGATTCCTTGTGCACCTAAGGACCAAATTGCTTCCAAGCACGAAAGGAGATAGCCCCTCGAGAACTGTGCTGGGGTATAGGGGGGGTTGAGGGTTGAGGGCCAACCCTAAACCCTAAGCCCTAAAGCCTAAACCCGGTCTTTTTTGAACAAACACTAAACCCTAAACCCTAGACCCTAAACAAATAACCATACCCCTTAGTTCCCTTGGCGTCCTCCTCAGCGATCCGCGTTGGGAAGAGCTGCGGGAAATAGGGGCCTGGCGGCAATGGACTCGCGGGACAGGCGTTTAGGGTTTAGGGTTCAGGGTTCAGGGTTCAGGGTGGGACTTTGCTTGCAGAGCCTTAAACCTACAAAGCAAGCACAAACCCTAAAGCCTCCAACGAAGCCAAGATAAACCCTCCCTGTCAGACCCTGTAAACCCCTAAGTCCCCACAACGCCCTCCCAAAACCCTTTTAAACCCCTTGCTTGAATCCTTAAAGAACCCCCCCCCCCACCCATACCCCATATTAAACGGCCTGAACCTAACACTCTAGCCAACAAGTTGAGCCCTTCACCATTTCTTAGAGGGTTGGTTCATGGCAGACATAGTCCCGCAATAATGGCCCCTAACTGGGGACCCCTTATACACGCCTTATGTACCCCAGAACCATAAAAACCCAAGGGCCCATACTTCAGAACCCTCTCAAGGAGGTAAGGGACCTTATTAAGCGACCATGTAACCAACCAAAAAATGTTAAGGTCTGCCCAAGAATCCAATCCTGTGGCTTTCTTGATAGGTTGCCCAGTACGTACCCTAAACCCTAAGCCCTTGTTTCGGTCGCATTGCTCCAGCTTGTAGCTGTGACTGGGAGACTCAGAGCATCCATCCCCCCAAAAAAACTCAAGCCCAAACACCATAATCCTTTGCTTTAAGGTTTTAACGTTCTTCCCCTAAAACCACGGAGTATAAGCTTTATCGTTCCTGCTAATAAGGAAGCCAAAAACGTTTAAAGTTCAACTATTGGCGAAGTACGTTAGAGAATGAGGGATCGCCTTAGCATGCATGGAAACACCACGCCCACTCAATGTTCCGCGAGGTGGAAACTCGAAATCGTCAGTGAGTTCAGCAATCCCTGTTCATCCGGGGGCTTGGTGAAGACGGCAATCCCAAAAAACCGGAATCTGGCTGCGCAAGACAAGCCTGCAACTCCTCTGAACCCAGAAGCCTATAAGCCCTAAACCCTAAACCCCTGAACCCTTAAGCCTAGACCCCGTGACCCTAAACCCTTAACCCTAGACCCGTAAACCCTAGCCCTAAACCCTAAACCCTAGCCCTAAACCCTAAACCCTAAACCCTCAAACATCCTCCAACTCCCCACCCTAAGTCCGGCCTTCCAGGGGCTGGCCCAACTCCAGCGAGTGCCCGGCCACGTCGCTGATGGAGCTCGCCGCTCCCCGGGGCGCGTAACTGGCACCTGCCGATTCCTCTACGACTTGCTGAACCCTAAACCCTAAACCCTAAACCCTAAACCTAAACCCTCAACCCCTTGTTTACTACTGGCTGGTTCTTAGAGTAGGGAAAGGCGTATCAGCTTTGCCTTGAAGGGCTTCTAGGGTTGCAGGGCTTGTGAGGGTTTGTGAGGGCTTCTTGGGTTCATAGTATATGGTTTAACGGTTTACGGTTTAGGGTTTAGGGTTTGGAGAGCTTCCGGGGTTCTAAGGGAACGCTTCTAGAGCTTTATAGGCTTCATAGTATATGGTTTGACGGGCTTCCAGGGTTTAGAGGGTGCTTATAGAACTTGTAGGGCAAGAATGGGCTTCTAGACTTCATCAATCGGGCTTCGGGTTTATATGGTTGACGGTGGCTGGCAGGGGTTCCTGATGAAGGTTGTATTATTTATAGGGTGCATAGTGTGCAGAGGGCCTTTTGATATCTTGCCAAGGACCTCTTCTCCCATGGTTTTTTAGGGTTTAGGGTGTAGGGCTTAGGGTTTGTATGGGGCTTAATTTGGGTTTAGGGTTGAGGGGCTCTTGCATGACGCACGTCCTGCACATACCCCCAGCATCGGAATTCGGAATACTAAGCTGCCGTCCACACAATGTTGGAAACCCACCCGCAAGCCTTTGCACGCCATCGTGCCGCTGTGAGCACGTCTCCTGAGCTTAGGAAAATGAACCCTAACATTGGGGTCGTAGACGCTATACACTGCTGCAATCCCAATCATTGCATTCAGGTTTACCATAGATCCTAAACCCTTTTAACAATAAACCCTAAAATCAGGTCCCAGAATAAATCGGAGTCGTTTGACATTGCCTGTGCAGCTCTGTTTGCGCGAACTTGCCCCAGAACCCCTCTAGGGAACTATAGAGTTTTATGGTACCCGCATAGCTGGACGAATCTCACAGCATGTATCCCCAGTGTAGGGTTTGTGGTCTCAAAACGTGTAGGGTCGGGTATGGCGTGCCTAGGATTTTGGGGCTTAGAGTTTAGGGTTTCTGGCCTTCTAGTGGAACAAGTCACGTCAGACCCCTTCACCAACACCCACGCGCACGTCCAGAGTGCCGACGAGGAGCTGCGTTCCCTCGGGCCACTGTCCCGATGGATGGGGTCCTAATCTCCGCGAAACTCGAAGGCCGGTTAACAATTTAATAGCCCTTATAAACCTAAACCCGAAACTGTGAACGCACTCGCCGAATTCCTGCCTAGACACCCAAAGACCATGACCGAATGCAGGAGACACCTTTCGCATATTCCTTAAACTCATTCTTGCATCCCTAAACCCTGGTTTAGGGCTTAGGGTTTAGGGTTGAGGGTAAAGGGTTCAGAATTAGGGTTTCCTGGTTTAGGGTTGAGGTCTTAGGGTTAAGGTTTCCTAAACCCTGATCAAACTCCACTGTTTTTGTTGAATGCGAATTGGGATGTGTCCCCCTTATACAGTCCTTTATAGGGATTGGGGCACTATAATCCTTATTCAGGACTGTTCGTACCCTAAGGCTCTTGGGCCCTCAAAACCCCAGGATATGACACCCCAGCACCCTTTGCAGGCGGTACCAGTCCATCTTGTAGTAAGGGGCACCATAATCCTCAGTAAGTAGTATAAGGGGGAACATCCCACCCTAAACCCTAAACCCTATTTTGAACCCAGGCTCTGAACCCTAAACCCTAAACCCTAAACCCTAAACCCTAAACCCTAAACCCTAAACCCTAAACCCTAAACCCTAAACCCATCCCAAAATACAAGGAGAAGGCTCTGATTTGGTGGATCGTGCGGGTGTTCCAGACGATCAGGTCGCCCGGCTCCACGACGTAGTCCGTGCACTTGCTAAACCTCGAGGCCCACAGGGTTTCTTTTGGGGGCTTGGGGGTTAACTGTGGGGCTTTGTTAGGTTTTTTGGTGGGTTTAGGTTTACAGGGTTCATAGGGATCACAGGCTTATAACCCATTATACTGCTAAACCTCGGGGTCCACAGGGTTTTTTGGGGCTTGGGGTCTAAAGGGTCTGTGATTTAGGGTAAAATGGGGCTTGTTAGGTTGTTTAGGGGTTTAGGGTTTTATAGAGTTCATAAGGATTATCTTCTTACCAAACCGGTTCTCCCCAGCGACTCCCTTTTTCCTGGGAATTTGGAGTCTCTAGGTAGGATTTCGGGTTCAGGGATTTTTGGAGGGGGACCACATAGGGTTGTTGCTGCTCCGACCGTGAGGAAGCCTGATGGCAGTGGTGATTTGGACCCAAAGAAACCATTCCAGTGATCTGCGCAGGCAAAAAATCATGTTTTTCCACAGGGTGCTCTGTTGCACGGCCCAAGGCCCTGCTCGCAATCCTCGTGATTACAATATCGCCTTTTTCTGGTTGAGGGTGCCGGGATTCTTGCTGAACCTACAGTCTTCTGCTGGGCAGGGCGATGTGTTCCTTGTACTCTGTGAACCCTAAGGGTCCATGTATCTATGTAGTCTATACCTGGGCACTAAAGCTACTGTTTGGGAACCCCTTTAAGGCCCAAGCATATACTATATAGGTACATGGACCGTTACTTAGTTGTCCAGTAACCTAAGGGGATTATACTACCCCAAAAAGGTTAAAAGGTTAACTACTCTACTACTAGGGTTAGGGGAAGGATTTGCAAGCCAAGCTTGGGATGCTTCAGCAGAGGCTCTGTGCGAGGTCGCCAGACGTGACGTCCACGGCCACAGCATCGGAGACGGAGGTGTTTCGATGCGAGCCCAGCAGGTATTCCTCTGATGAGGTTTTTTTTGCCGCCCGCTTAGCGGGTTTAGGGTTTAGGGTTTAGGGTTTAGGGTTATGAGATCAGGCGATCTCCGGCTGTTGCCCCGTACCCTAACCCTAAACCCTCTAAACCCTATTGAGCACGGACTGAGGAAGCTGCCGGAAAGCCCTCAACCCTAAACTCTGAACCCCACTCTACAGTTCCCCTGTGTCCAAGTCGGTAATCAGGTTGATCGAAGCAGAAGAGCTGGTTTAGGCTTTATAGGGTTTAGGGTTTAGGGTTTAGGGTGACTGAACTAAACCTTGAAACCCACCTCCAAAGCTCTTCGGGTGCTGCAGCACGGGCACTGGAGGGGTTTGTTATTCCCAACTTCAAACACGACGGCCTTTAATCTACAAGCCCTTACCTATAGAGTAACCCATACCCTGAAATAAAGAGGCAAGAGCCTTGCCTTTGTCATTGGGTATGTGTAGCCTCCTCTGCTTGGTACCCCAGTAACCATTTTATGAGGGTTTCCTTTTTTTGGTTGGTTAATTTCTAAGGGAACCTTAAACCAAAAAAAGGGAAAAGGGTACCACCGGGCTACCAAGTCTAGTTAACGTCAACCGTGCAGGGATCAGGGTTGCGCTGGCCCCTGAACACCTTTCGAGATGCGCAAGCAAGATTCCGGCACGCCGACCTTGCCTTCGCCACACTTGTCCAAGGCCACCCACCAGCGGACAGCCTTGGCCAACAATTTTAGTCAGTCATCCCACGAATTTGTACCCTTAGCTTTAAAACCTAAGCCCGTTAAACCCTTTTTGCCAGAATGCATTCTAAATTGCAAACCCCATAGATCCTCCAAACGCAATAAACCCTATAAACCCCAAAAAACACACCTCATAAACCCCATAAAACCCTGTAAACCCCATAAATGGGAAACCCTAAACCCTAAACCCCAAACCCTAAACCCTAAACCCTAAACCCTAAACCCCAAACTCAAGCCCAAAGGCGTAGTCCGCCTCTATGGGCCCATTTTGGTTGTCCTGGTGCCAGCCGATACCATCCTTGGGCTTCGGCCCCAAGCGGTTTAGGGTTTAGGGTTTAGGGTTTAGGGTTGCAAGATATGAGGGGTTTTCGACTCTCGCACTGAGATATGGGGGGGGGGGGGGGGCTTAGGGCTTCGGGCTGAGGGGTTCCTATGATTCTTCTCATTTAGAGGTAGTTTCATGGTCCCTCAGTATTGGCCCTTAACAGGGGACCCTTATATACCCTATACAACCCGAACATCAGAACCCGTTCAAGAAGGTAAGGGGCCACATTAAGGGCCCAGATAACTACCCGTAGATCTCAACAAACATAAGACCCTTAACCCGAAACCCTAAACCCCATACCCTAAACCCTAAGCCCTAAGCCCTAAACCCTAAATCCTGACTATGGCGCGTAGTTTGCACGAGCAAGACTCCCAAAAAGTGCGCTTAGAGGACTATTCTGGGGCACCCAAGAACCCGTGTACATTGTTGTCTCTTTTGGGTTTTGGGCTTAGGGTTCAGGGCTTAGGGTTTACTCGCTGAGGGTTTAGGGTTTAGGGACATTTTTGGGTTTAGGGTTTAGGGTAATGATATGGGCTCCGTCTAAACTAGTCTTTGAGTGGTCCTTCAAAAAGTTTAGGGTTTAGGGTTTAGGGTTTAGGCTTTAGGCTTTAGGGCTGCGCAAAGCACCATGTCCCGAAAATAGACGGATACTCTCCCCAAGTAGGTGTCTGCTTTAGGGGTGGAAGGGCAGGTTGACAGGGCCATTACTTCGAATAGTGGAGTTACCCAGAGCGGCCGCTTGTACTTCGAATTGTGGAGTTAGCCCAGGCCCGGGCTTGACCGTGTTTCGAAGGCATACGGTGAGGGATTCAGTGTGGGGTCCTCCTTGAAGGTCTCACCATTCGAATGTGTTTTTAGGGCTTGATTTTGGGCTTGGGGTTTGGGTCATTTTGGACATCTGCATAGCTGGTTCTTCCGGTTTGAGGTTCAGGGAGACTGCTTGCCAAAAGTCGTTGGGGTTTACGATCAGTACGTCCGTGGTCGGACGCACCTCTTCTGTCTTGGCCAGCTGGGCGATAACATGGGCCAACGGTGAGTAGTACCTTGCTGTCGAAAGATTACGTTAAGTGTAGCTCATCCTCGTCTGGGAATTTCAGTATGGGGGGTTAAAGAAAAACATGTCCAGCTGCGCTGTAACCCTTTTTTAGCCACGGACTGAGGGTACTGCCTGGCAAAGCCTTACGTACCAGCCTCAACTCTAAGGCTAGGTCTGGACCGCGTTGAGCACACACCAAAACCCAAACCCGATTTGCCAGGAAGTGCGTGAAAGGGACCCACCTGCACTAGGGTTAGGGCTTCGGGTTTAGGGTGCTCAATTGAATTAGGGCTTCTTTCATGTCCATAGTGGTTCGACGCTCACGCCAGACGCAGGTGTAGGGTTTGACTTATGAGGTGGGTTAAGGGGGGGGGGGGGGGGGTAGTTAACACAGGGATACTGAAAGGTCCTTTATTGCTTCGTTGCTGACCCTGTTAGAAAAACTGCCGAAATCAAACTTCCAAAGCAAGCCTCAAAGCACATCCTAGGCTCCAAGCAGCAGAGCCAAGCTAGTGCTATCCTTGATCAACATGTGGTCGGATTCTGCCCTGGTGCATGAAGTCTCTGAAGCCATCGTTTGTCATCCAAACATTCCGCTGGATGTAGTCATAACCTGAGCTCTACTGAAGTAAATACAGGATATCTTCATGAGAAGTAACATGCATATGGTGGCGGGGCATCGGCATTTGCTTTTTCGAACCAGCAGGTTGCTGCATTGATCTGAATACCCTAAACTCTCTCCCCAAGTATCGAGAGTTTAGGGGGGTTCTTCATGGAGCGACGGCTCGTCGCAACTTGAAGATATAATAAGCCACCCGAGCGGTTGGTGCCCACCCCCAGAGAAGCCCACCCTTATAATAAGGACCCCAGCAAGGTACCCCGAATTTCGGAAACACCCCCATATGTTCAGCAGCATGTAGAAGGAACTCTAACTAGACCCAAGAGTAACCTAGGAATAAAAGGGGCTAAGGGTTTGGGGTTTGGGGTTTAGGGTTCAGGGTTTGCCCCAAACCCCAAACCCGTCTGGGTTGACTAGACCCAAGAGTAACCTGGGAATAAAAAGGGTGCCCTTTTTGGTTTAAAGGGGCTTATAAGGGAACCTAAACCCTGAAACAAGGGAATAAGGGCCCTAGTAGCCCTAAACCCTGAACCCTACATCCTCATTTTTGAAATAGGGGTTTAGGGTTTAGGGTTTAGGGTCTAGGGTTGAGGGCTACTAAGCCCAACATACGCTCACCACGTGGTATGGACCCTGGCTACTTCCTGTCCCCCTGGTGCTGCTGCGGGGCTGTCGCCACCCCTGCCGACCAAGGACCAGAAGTGCGGATTCTCCACCTGAGGCCCTAGAACCCAAACAAAAAACGTTTAGAGTTTGGGGTTTAATCAGGGTTTAGGGTTTAGGGTTTAGGGTTTAGGGTTTAGGGTTTAGGGCTATCCGGAAACTCTAGAAGTCCAAGCTCTTGAGGCCCGGCTGTTGTGTTTCTCAGGGTTCAGGCGAGGTTTGCATTGTGTGAGGTCATGTCGTGGGATATTCCCCCCAAAAAAGTCGAGCACCCCCCCATTATGATCCCTATTAAGGATTATTAGTATAACAGGGGGGGCTCCCCCTTATTCTAACAGTCCTTAATCGGGGTACTATCATCCACATTAAGGAGCTGTTCGTATAACTGGCGGAGCATCCCAAGTCATGTCTGGTATTTACGGGCAGTATTCTGGTTCATGGAATGCTGGAATGATTACTTGGAGGATCGGGAGACTTGGCATATAAGGGATTCTCCTACTTCGCAGCCCGACTTATTCATGTCTACTTTCTGCGGACGTGCTCTGACTGTGAAGTGATGCTACAAAGGGTGTCTAACTTCCTGCTAATTGCTTAAGAACCCCCCCCCCCCCAGAAAAAAAAAAAGTATTCTTCCATATTGAGGGGAATATAGGGATTGTTAGCTTTTTTTCGTTTGGGGTTCTTAAGCAGATAGTAGCTTCAAGCTAGCCGACGTGCTTTTTCAGTGCTTTTTCATGCTGTGTGGCAAGCCCTCGTGGCTGGGGGGGGGGGGGGGGAGGGGGTATCAGGATTTAGAGAGTCCCTAAACCTTAAGCCCTACACATAGGACGCATAACGCTTTTCCAGTTTGAGGTGGGGGGGGGGGGGCGTTGAGGGGAAGAGTGCCCCATGTGCGGTGCCGTTGCCTGATGGTCCGTGACACTTCGCAGAAAGTCGACCCAGTCCTGGGCTCTCGAAGCTTAGGGTTTAGGGTTTGGGGTTGAGGGTTTAGGGTTCAGGGTTTAGGGCCCACACGCCCTGAACCTCTAAACCCCCAAACCCTAGGCCCTAAACCCCTAAACCCCTAAACCCCTAAATCCCTAAACTCCAAACCCAGAACCCTATACACCAAAACCCTAACACCCGGGCCTTGCTAGCCTACTTGAATGTTCATGAGTGGGCAAGTTTTACTGCTTCCCTTGTTGGGGTTATATTAAGAATTATCATGTTTATTCAGTGTATTCCTTATCGGGAATTTATAGGACAAACATGTAAAATTATAACCAACAAGGACCCAGTTTAGTCGGCACCCGAACGAGAAGTCATAACAACAGTTACCCGACGTGCAGCCCCAGCATCCGAGGCTGAGGCCGGCCCTGTCTTGATACAAGTCTTAGGGGTTTAGGGTTTAGGGTTTCGGGTTTAGGGTTTAGGGTTCGGGTTTAGGGTTTAGGGTTTAGGGCTCAGGGCTTAGGGTGCTCCACTTCGAAACCGTACTCCCTAAATCCATCCTCCCACATAATCTCGTGATTTCGGGCTATACTTTCACCAGGAGACCCGCAAAGCTCCTGGAACCAAGGTGACCTGGGCCAAGATCTGGAGGGCTCAGGGTTCAGGGGCCGTTGCCGGTCTTTGTGCGGCTTAGAGGCTTAGAGGCTGTTGTGCAGCTTAGGAGCTTTTGTGTATGAACCCTCAGTTCATTGGAAAACCACGGACCAGGTTGTCTTAGAAGTGGCTCCCCCCTCAGTCCTAAGGGAGGCTGTGTGGGGCTCATGATCGGATCATGTGGCCATGTGGCATGCTTACGGTGAAACTTGAATGCTCTCATGAAGCTCTTATACTATTTCCCGAACATGATACACGCGTCGATAAATGTCGCCGGATTCCAACTCACTTCTCATAGCAAACCATTGCAATCTCAGCATGCACCAGTGTCTTGTTTCACTCTGCGGTGATGCATCCACGAGGCACAATTTATACGCATGCGGCTGAAAACCTAATACACGGTTCAAGCTTTCTCTAGTGTTGGCAACCGATGAGTATGACACATCGCAAATCATTCAGCCGTGCGACAGTTCACCTAGAGTTGTGTCGCTGCAGTTCTGCAGGCATAACACGCAATATCGCCTCGTCACACATCATTGATGTGAGAAGTGAACAGGGTGCTTTGCACACTTGTCTTAAACATGCGGAAGCGCATCAGAGCAGGTCAGTAAAGATGCATCGTTGTTGGCTTGACCGTGGCTTGACCTTAGGAATTTGTCGTTTCACGTGACGCTGTGACACCGTCAAGTTCAAGCACATACACAATGCACAGGTTTGCAGCAACACAGCAACACGGACACAGACCTTATTTTTTTCTTCTCCACATTGCTCAGAGCCTGCCACTGCCGTAGTAGTCCACACCACTGCTTCGCAAACCCCGACACGACCGACAGTGCGAGCTGCAGGACATTGCACCCAGGTCAAATTCGAGTCAGTGGGAAGCACAATCGTAGAGTTGCGTCTAGAGTCTAGCTGCCAGCCAGTCTTTAACCACTCTCGCTCAGACTCAGATTTCGACATGGGGCGCAAGCCTTCAGCTGGGAACGATGCCGGCTAGGTTAGGCTACCAAGACTCAATCAGCTATCGATCATCCATCGATTTTGAAACTCACCAACTCATCATGTGAGCAGCGTGAGGTGTGTTGGCGCAGCAGCACCGGATTGAAGCACAGGGACGTGATATCGGAATACATGTAGAAAGCAAGTGCATGTAATGGTGCGATGACTCGATGATTATTGCTGTGCGCTGGCCTGTCCACATGGCCACAGAAGCACGCGTTATGATTCATCAAGGAATATACGTCGTTGTGTGCAAGGCTCAACGGTCTACTGGCGTACTGGAACTAGAAAAGTCGCAAGTATGTACAGCGTGCTTTGTAGAGTCAAAGCTTTCACATGTGAAGTGAACATCCATCACTATGGACATGTACTGCATTCCGCATAATTGTGTGTACATATAAGCCACGCTGCACTACTAAAATGGGATTAGTCGTGATGTGCTTCTGCAC